AAAGCTGGAGGAATGGGATACTGGCCAGTGCCGTGTGAGAGTCGAAGTTAATGGTCTAAAGCCTCTCGAAATGAAACTACCAATAAGACTCCCATCAGGCGAAGTGAAATCAGTTGACTTAATATATGAGAGACTTGATAACCACTGCTTTGTTTGTTTCTCATTAGGTCATGAGGAGAAAGACTGCCCGAGAAATTGGTTGTCTTCTCATTCCTCAGAGAGAAACCTTGGCCCTTCACAACAAATTGCGTTGGAGAGATTGGAATCAGAGAGGAGAAAGGCTGACAGGAAAATGGATGAGAGAGAATCGTCTTCAGCATACTGGGTAAGGAAGGACTACAGTTGCGGGAGAGACAGAAGATCCAATCCCCCATCTCAAGTTGTCTCTCGACATAACAACTACAGAAACAGAACCTCTCCATCTGCCTCGGTGAAAAGCGGATACAGACCCTTTCTCACAGAAACTGCAGACCACCGGAGAAGATCAAACCTCTATGATAGAGAGGATCTCAGAGCCTCCTTGACCCGTTCTCAGAGATCATCCTCTCACCATGCTGCAATTCAAAGATATAAAGCTTAAGGATCAGATCTACCGCGGCATAGGAACCTACGATACCTACGTCGAGATGAGCAAACTGGGTCCTTGCAATCTCAACCGGCTAAGTCTCCACTTCTCACCCCAATTAGAGAAGGACCAACACTCCCAGCAGCGAGTGAGACTGGCTATGCATCAAGTACTCCAAAGGATCGAAGACCGACTTTAGAACAGTTATCTACTGGCGATCCTCCAGCAGGCTCTCGTCAAAACAGAGTTTATAACTCTGACTCAGGAAGATTACTGGATGTTCAAGTACAATATATAGATGAAGGGGAACAACAGTTGCTCGAAGGCAGCATTCCAAGACCTGGGAGTAATGATATTACTCTAGAGAGGGGAGCATCCCACCGATATTTTCATACACCACCTTCAGAAGAACGTATTCCCACTTCCCTGCGATTGGGGCCTGCCATAACCACTACTACCAAAAAATCAACAAGGAAACCAGTCCCAAAATTACCACAAATGCAAAGTCGCCTGGAAAAAAGAAATCACAAAAGCAGAAAAAAGGAGACTCACAAAAGACGACAGGGAGAAAGCGGGGAGCTAACAGCCCAATTGTAGGGGCTAATACAAAGAAGAGAAACTTTACCAAGACTCATGCTGCATCAAAGAAGAAACTAACTATGGATGCAGCGGGACCTAGTAGACACTTACCTCATAATGAGGAGATTACAACCTCTGGTGTTGTCAATACCACAAACAATTCTCTGGCAATGGAC